CTGAAAAGGGTTTTTCATAGTACACATTACTTTTTGACTACTTTGTTCATTAAAAATAGTGTTTCAGAGTCGCTTCCCATTCACTCGGCGACCTCCGAGACCGGGCCAACGACCACAGCCTCGAATCCTGCTATCGTCCCGTGATCGTCCCTCGCCTAGGATTCGTAAACCTCAGTTACGGCAACCCAACTTGAGTACAACGAGTCACAGGACAGTCATCAAGCGAAGACCGACTACGACAACTAGCACTACCACGACGACTACAACTACTACCACACCTACCACAACCACTACTACTCCTACCACAACAGATACCACTACTATACCTACAACTACCACTACTACACCAATCACCACCACTACTACTCCTACCACTACGACAACTACTCTTACTACGACTACTCCTACTACTACGACTACTACTCCCACCACTACAACTACTACAACAACGCCCAAACCAACAACTACCACTTCTACCACGACAAGTACCACTACCACTACAACACCCACGACTACCACTACAACCACACCTACTACCACGACTACAACACCGAAAACTACGACCACAGAGAAAACCACCACAACAACCACGACACCAAAGCCGACAACTACTACTGCTACGACCACGACATCGAAAATGACGACAAATGTGGTGGAGGTGATCAAAATGAGCAAGACGGAACTGCTGCTCGACGAGTTGAAAAATAGACTGCGTGCTATGGGGCACGACGAGCCTGAGCATCCACTAAAGGGCTTGGAGGACTTTTTCATGGGGAGAAGAACTAGAAATAGACTTATCACAAAGACAAGGACGACGACTACTACGACAACTTCACCTACTACGACAACCACAACTCCTACAACTACCACTACTACTGCAACTACTACACCAAAGCCTACGACTACGACGATGACCACAACAACGACTAGATTGCCAGATTTGCTTGTGACAACTACTACAAGAAAGCCTATGACTAAGACAATGTTTAGATTGCCAGATTTGTTTGTGACAACTGCTACACCAAAGCCTACAACTACGGCAATGACCACAACAACGACACGATTGCCAAATTTGTTCGTGGATAACAAACTTAAGACGAATTCTAAGCATATGATGACTTCCGGAGAGATCAGTGCGAGAAAATCGATAAAGCTTGCTTCAAAATCACGAGCTGCTGTGGAAGTGAAACCAAAACTGAAGGAGGAAAAACCAAATAGGGAAGTTGAAGGGAATATAATCGTAGCCTTTCCACGTGAGGACGAGAAGAGACAATTGTTGACACAAGATGATCCGGTCCATAGGAATGTACTCAACGGAGTTAATGAAGATAATGAAATAGCTGAAGAAAGCCCTAACAGCAACAAGATGCGAATGTCACTTTCAACCGAAAAAGAAACGATTGAGATTCTGAAAAAGAAACTTGAGCAACTGGAAAAGCGACTCAGCCAGAGGTAAGTACATGATCTTTGATTGCATGCTTTGAAGCATTAGGCAAAATCACAGCTAATAGGGCTGAATTTCTCTGCAGCTATGAGAAGTTTATTGGTGCAAGTTTCCAAAATTCTTAGAGTATGTAAGGTGAAATAGATTCAACAGCTGTGCTGACTTTGAATCGCCGACTTAGTTATGGAAAAAAGAACCAAGTATATCCTCTTACTATCAAATGATTCAGGTTCGAAGGAACAGGCGCAGTTGCTAAGAAATCTGAGAAGAATGACGATTTATTGGCCAGTGACGTCGATGTAGCTAACATACGAAGCCAGTCACGGCTCGATTCCCGACGTCGCAACTCAGAAGGAAATGTAATCGTAGCCTTTCCACCTGAGGACGAGAAGAGACAGTCGTTGATACAAGATGATCCGATCCATAGGAATGCATTCAACAGAGCCAAAGACCTCGATTTGGGAGAAAATGTCATGTTAAGAAGTATTGGTGACATGGAGAAAGTTTTGGACGCAGTAGCTGTACCTTCAAATGAAGTACTATCCATGCTGAAAATACTTGAAAAGAAAGGCGATGATTTGGAAGGATCTGGAGCCGAAACAACTGAGGAAGTGTCCGTCACAACGCCTTCTACAACTGGTACTTCCACAGTGCCTTCTACAACTGGTACTTCCACGCCTTCTACAACTGATACTTCCACAATGCCTTCTACAACT